AAGCGATTCAAAATTCAATGTGGCCGATTAGTTTCGCAACTCCACCATTCGACTGATATGCTCGGCATTTTTTAATGATATTTACTAGAGCCTCACTTTCCTTGCAACGGCCTCTGTGACATTACAATAAAGGATTTTAATACTCGCATCCGGACATGACTTTCCTCAGACACTTTCCAATAAATCTGTCAGGCAAGACATCGTCTGGACATGCAAATGCTCATATGATATTTGGATATTTCTGTTGTCTACAAAGGACGATGGACGGGATATGCTCGTAACAAATGGCAAGCGGCTTTAGCAAAGAATCGCGCTTATATCTTCTCGACAGATACATAATATTATTAAAGGAAATATTAATACGGTAGAAGAAAGGGAACATAAATCTATTAGGGTTAATATTATTCTTGTCCCTCTTAATTCCATTTAGGGTGCATCGCCGCAAAATTATGATGTTGTCGGCGTATTTTCATAACCGTGCGTGCTCATAATTGCAATTAGTACTATAATTAGTCAGAAAAAATGATGTTAAGCTGTCATCGTCGGTGTCTGTTGTTATTCAAATAGGTAGTTACAAATTTAATGACACCAAAAGAATGCGCTAAGGTCCTTTGAGGTTTTAATTCCGATTAAAAATAGTAACTGCATTATTCTTGTCGCACCTTAGAAATATGCACATACATTATCCTTAAAAAACATGATCTTTAAAGAAGTTTTGGCAGCAGGGCCCGCATTAATACATTTAGCAGTGCACTTTCAATGATAAATGATTAATAAAAATGTACTAAATGGGACATGGTAACGTTTAGTAAAGAACTGAATTAGAAATTCGTCAAATACGTCTCCCTCCTGCGTCTACCGAGATTAAATTTAAAATCTGGAACGATGTGAACGAATAGTGATTTTTTTATAAGATCGCTTCTATAAATACTGAAGTGATAATAAAATGTTATTTTTAAATGCAAGTGCACGCATATGTTAACAGCTAAACAATGTTACTGGCATGGCAATTATAAAAAAAAAACTTTGTAATTATTTTTCCTCGATTGGCCATATGGCGTACGGTAATTGGAAGCGTAAAGGGTTAACGTTTTCTGAATCCTCTGACTTGACAATACAATTCACGTGAGTGAAAATGCAATATATTGAGCCAAATTCATAATTGGTTACCGTTTTTTAGACAATTTTTATTAGGAAAGGAAAAAAATCAAAGTTTAGATACCTGTGCAAATTATCCTAGTGTCACAATTAGCAAAAGACGTTTGCAATGATTTCCCATATAGTGGATGTTCTTCTGTTTCACAACATTGCTATTTTCCAGTGAAAGTCTTTTAAAAATTCTTTCATTTGACTTTCCTGAGGAATTCAGTCCCATTGACCAACTTCTTGGTCGCTTCATCACTGCAATTTCATGAAAATGGAAACACGGTCAGCATTGTTGCTCGCGGGGAATACATACAGCCTACCTTCACTCGGTAATAAGCTTTTTAAGAAGACGGACGATCGTTAGTTGGCCGACATGGAAGTTCAGGAGATGACGGCTTTTTGAATATGAATCGATTTGCTTGGAGTGCTACCATTCCATCCCTAGGATGCACAATTTTCCGTCATAACTAACCCATTTGATTATTATCCATTGGCAATTTACTTTAGGTACCTATTTATGTTCTAGTGATATATTCTCTAAGGTTTAAAGTTTACAATGATTTAAAAAAATGGGCGTAAGGAAGCACCTATTTTCCGCATTGAAGTTTACTCGCCTATAGATGAACACCCGGTATCTAGAAGCGTGTTAGGTTGGGCGCTTCGTTACGAAGATTGTCGCTTCGAAAGTATTTAGGAGAGGAAGATGGAAGCCAAAAAGTGATTTAATTTCTAAAGTTGTGTTGCAACTGCCGCGCCGCTACCGGAATTAAAGCTGCAGTTAATCCCCCGTTTGCAACCGTTCCCGTAGAAATATTTAAATTATTTTTACAGCTGCCTAAAGAACTTTTGTCAGGAAAGAAGAGAGAGAGAATCGATCATATTAAGTTTTTGGTATGTTAATTACCTATTAATCGTTTTTAATTTTCTAATGGTATACGAATTCCAGCATTAAAACCGGTAAGGTCGTGCAGTTTACGAGAATCCAACGTGATGGGAGACCCCTCCGTTTGACCTAAGAATTCCAAGGGAATAAGGGCATTGTTGGACTGCCGAATACCGTAATTTGTTGAGTGGGTTACAGATAACAGCCCGATTAAGTCCAGATTACATCCGTTAGGTGCGCCCTTAAAAAACTAGAACTTTGATAACAGTCTCGTATTTTAAGACGTCTGGGAAGGATGTAATAAATTAAAGAAGTAATTTTTGGATGTTTTGGATTCATGCCGTTTAGTTTTGCGTTTACATTAAGTTTACCGCACCGTATCTAAGCTTTTGCTTTTTCTTGCACAGTAATTTCTACAACTCCGTTTAATTGCAAGGCTATTGTTTCGCTTTCCTGCATATGCTTTCCCGTAGATACGTTACCGAATCCGGTTATTTACATTCCCGCTTCCGAGACCGATTCGTCAAAACACTGCTATCGCCGACCTTGATCAGGAGCAAGGCCGTGCCCTTGGTGGCGGTCGATTCCGCCCGTCCGTCCGTTCCGCCGACTGCCGCTACATTCGTCCGCTCACATAAAAATGAAAATTATGCACTTATTGGCCCGTGCTCCGTATGAATAAAAGTGAGCAAATGCTAATACTTGCAAAATTCAAAGTAAATACTCGTAAGTGCTCCTTCGCACTGGGCGAGTTAGCAGCGCTTCTAAGCAGAAGGACAGGACGCAGTGCAGCGCTGCTAAACACTGCTAAACAGACCAGTATGAAGGGGCAGTTACGAGTATTTACTTTGAATTTTGCAAGTATAAGCATTTGCTTACTTTTATTCATTCATATTTCGCTTTTATTAAAGAAAAATTGCGTCAGATGCGCTACCATTCGTTATCGCCTGTGACTAATCTTTTATCGACTTGATGGCGACTGCTGGCGCTCCGATGTCTAGGATACTCGCTGCGATTCAGATTCAACATTTTCAAGAAAAGCTTCTGGTACCTCGACTAAAAGAATGTGTATGTAATTTCTGCACTTGCCTTTCTCACTTTTTTTATAATTAAAGAACAGCTGTGTTTCCGCAGCGATATTCCTAGACTGTTTCATGAAGTAGGTATCAAATTTCACTCTTAGGACTAGCGGCTGTCATATACTATAATTAAAGAAGGTGTCTTGTAAAATGTTTTTGGGGCAACCAAAATGATGACAATTATCAAACCTTGTTTATAATCTATCACCAACAATGTAAGAATAGGCTGCCGAATTTGCTGAAAACTACATACTCCATGTTCATTCGATCATTTTAAGGGTGCTTTCACTGGAAGGTCATTAATCGAATTAATTATTGATTATTATTATTATGAAATTATGTGAGATCTCATTAAAAAAAGTTCCTGACATCTGTTGTAACATTTACTGTTAGATATCCTCTCTTTGGTTCTGGATCAGGGGACCTTATATTTGTTCTTTTTCTGCTTTATTTTTTTATTCCGTGTTTTATGTAAAATTGTATGTCTGTTTAGTTACAATTCACACATATAACTTAACATCAAATCTTGGATTAGTTATTTTTTGTATAATGTTCGTTGTTTTTGCATTTTATTTGGCTTCGGCACCTGCAGAAATGATGGGTCACTTTGTATGTGCATTTCCAATTATTGTAAACAGAACGGGGTTCTGCCTTCGGGTAGCTCCAGCCGGCTGGCCAGAGATCGAAATTCGTATTGATTGAAATTGTTTAATTAATAAAATAAAATAAATAAAAAAAATTCAAATATTTAAATCCCGATGTTGGGTACGGAGACACATCCACAGAATAAGACCTTCACAGAACAGAAACATAAATAGCGCTAAACTGTCACTGATTACAGCGTTTCCCGTGGTTGTACGGAGAACTATTTATCGCAGACTCAAATATTTTTTTGCAAAACCTGTAATTTTGCTCGTTACAGGAAATATTTTTGCCGTCGATTTTATACGTACATGTCATTTTTGACTTTTGAAAGATTTAAAATATGAACAAGTTATGTGACCGTAAAAAGTGTTGTGTGGCGGATTGTAACGATAAAATATCAAAAAGGCATCGTTTCCCATATTTTGAAACAGATTGTTTTGTGCTTGAAACGCGAAGAGGATTGAAATGTGCTGTCATTTCTCTCCTATTTATGCAAGGTATGGAATTTATAAATTACCAACGGTATAGGCGCAAAAGGGTGTAGACTTGAGTTTTATATTTATATAGACGTAGATACTTAGGTATATTATAATTCGTTTCAGACAATGAATAAAAAATACGTTTTAGATAATTCAACAACTTCCACCCTCGCTTCTCAAGTAACAAGTAAGCACCAGAATCAAGTTAACATTTTGTTGTCAAAAACTTGTGTGACAATTTGCTGAAACGGTTTTATTACCTCTTGGAACAAAAAATTTAGTTCTAACGATATTTTTTAACAAAAATATGTAGTCCAAACAGCAATTAAAACCAAATATTTCGTACGACAAATCGTTATGTAAGGATCTTTCTCCAAGTGTTAACATCTACAAACCGTAAGTTCCACTCACTTCTGAGTTTTATATGTAATTTGTAAACATGTAATTTAAGTTCTCTGTGTTAAATAATGTAATGTGATTGTATCTAAATACACTTTAATTTAACAACCGTGTATTCTTTATCGATATTTATGATTTATATCGAATTTGGGAAATTACTTCATGACTTTAGGAGCTGGTCACCAGATGGCGCTACTCTGACTTCGATGCTTTAGTTCACAGTACACCCACCAGGCTCCGCCAAAATACCATACAAATTTGTAACATTGCTGTTTCTATTCTGAGAAGGCCGTATTCTGTGGACACCTCCACCGTCTGTCAAATCCCCGGTTGACCTTGGGGTCTGGTACGGCGTTCATCTTTTCCCCAACGTGCGGTGGATGTGGCAAGTGCTACTAGTTCGCTGTAATGATAAAGAGTTATTACCACATAAGCCCGGATGCTTATCAAGGCTCGAGGAGGTATCAGGTAAAGGAAGTATAGGAAGCTTTCTCCACCAGTTATATTTCAGGTGCTCTTCAGCAAAGAAATAACCCGACCTGAGTTGACTTGAACAGGAAGTAATAGCTCTCGAATAAGGTCGGCAAGGATTTACCTGGCGACGGCCCTTACAGAGGAACTTCCACCCGGTTCCAACAACCTCTACTCAAAGTCGGTGGAATCAGACGGCAAACACGGAAGGGAAGCTCTTTGGATTCCAGTCCGGTCGACCGACCGAAGGCAAGAATACAAAGAACTAGTTCTGTGTCCGGTTTTATAAGCCCGCAGGGATTTACCCTACCAGGATTATCTTCCCGGGAACAGGTGAGTAAAACGGCAAAACTAAAAGTAATTATCAAATTAATAGGTCTGGGAAAATAATGAAACTAAAACGAAAAGCTCTGGTGGAATTAAAACGGAAAATAAAATAAACTTAAACGGATATCAGGTTTTCGAAACGGGCAGGAATCGGGTCTGGTTCTGGTTCGGGGAATGATTTTAACATGGAACGGAATTAATCGGAAGTGCTCTCTGGTACTTTACAAACACCTTTTATAGGACACACAACAAGGTGGGAGATGTAGAAGGGATTGCAAATAAAGGATGGGGACGACAACAGGCGACATCTAACGAGGGGATTTTACAAAACATAGTACAGGATGTTTCACAAATAAAATTCCAACGTTATCAATTTGATGTTTTCTTACATTATTGTTAACAATAAATATGGTTGTATATTCGATAGTAAACGCAAAATCGATCAAATTATTGGATTTCGAAATCAATGTTTGTTCGTATCAGAATGATCAGTTGTTATTTTGCTTAAATAATCGCTTTGTTTATTTTATTGTAAAGCTTGAGGTACGTGTGTGCCATTGTAAAAGTTATCGCCGATCGTTTGCGATAAGGTAATTAGTTTCAAGATATGAACGTGTTATCGCCGAAGTGCAAATTATTCAAAGACGACGCTATTTTGTAAATGAAGGAGAAAGGAAGTAAATATAAAGGCAAGGAAGGTTAATAAGCGAACCGGACGTTAATCGAGGGTTCTTTGGTGGTGGCCATTTTAAACGTCGCTGTTTGTTTTGGTGATTAGAAGATTTATCGTTGTTATTCGCGTATTTGAAAAGACAGTCTGCCTTGTTTAATTATAAAGTTGTGTAGAAGAAATCTTACAGAATTTTTTTTGCGTCGTGATAAAAGTGAACGCTAAGTCGAGTTAAGCGGACGCGTGTTCCCACGTTTACGAAGAAGTTTTGTCGGAGTGTGGAGCGCGTTTGCCGCTGAAGTCTTTCTTTAAGGTTTTCAAGTTATCAGTTAAAGGAGTTGTTCCCATCAAAGGGTCATTTAACTACACCGAATTCAGTGTGGTCTAACTCGAAATTTTAGAGCATTCAAAGAAGTATCTTCAGGCTGTGTTTGTTTGTGCGTCCCTTATTGTAAATCGCAGGTACGATCGGAGATTTTGGATCATTTGTGTTCTGGTCCTGAGTGCCTATATTTCTTTCAGATGATTTGATTGATTGAATTTGTTTGTTTGTTTCATATGCAAATAGTATTATTTATAGTATTTTCTAACAGTGTTTGTTTGTTGTATGTTGAATTGTTTGTGCATATCTGTACATTTGTGACATATCCATATACATTTTTGAAAATGTCTTAACCAGATAAATATATTTATTATTCCTATTATTATTATAATTGGTTAGTTTTGGGAATCTAGTCCAAATTAAAATTAAAATTAACGTGTTCGAGCTATAAGTATCATCTAAGAAATGATGTAGTATTGGTGGATGTAAAGAGGTATTTGGGAAGAGTGATGTATAAATACTACTAAATTTTCATATTTCTGCACATACTCGTTTAAATGCCCTTTTAGATCAAATCGAAAATGTAAAAAATTACGGCAGAAGATTCATGTAACGATTTTGTGGACGAGCTATTTAGAATTAATGAAGCGCAGATAAATTTTCCTTAAATCTGAATTGTTATACGTCCTTGATCACCTATTCATGGTAGATAGTATACTATTTATACAACAGCAGTTAAAAATAGATAACGAATACATTCATAGCCCAAAACTTGAATGAACAAACAAGCCGGTCCACAACCACGACTCTACGAAATTTAAAACCTCCCATTTTAAATGACAACCTTTTTTTCGGCTCATTATTAAATGTCCATAGATAGAGAGAGAGGGAGTTTGAAACAAAGGGTTCATATATGTTTATTAGCGAGGACCGCTATAAATTAACATTGATTAGGCCCGTGTGATTATATCGGTTTGTTTCTAGAATGAGTCATAAATAATGTCAACCATACCTGTGCTTTGGACAAGATAACAAGGACTGAAAAGCAAAACGCTGTCCTCAGCACACATCGATTATTAGCAAACTAAGCCGAGGTCGTTAAAAGAGAACCACCTAATAAGTAAATGTTCAAAAATGACCACGGGTCCTTTCTTGAGTTATTACCTTTACATATATTACATTTTCGGAGACGACAGGCGGTATAACTGAATGTAAATTATTTAAAGCCTTTTAGGCAGCTCATCAGAAATCTACTTTAATATATCTATTTCAGTATACATCCTTCTTCTTACCTTTTGTATGTAACTGACTGAATAGACTGACCCAGTTGTGAATAAAGGACGAGTGAGGTAGAAGAATTGCGTGCAAGGATTTAAAATACGTATCCCTTTGAGACACTTTCTAAACTCGAACAGATTATTTACAACCAACAATCTTTACAATACATTAGACATTTTCTATTTTTGCACGCCAGATAAACCATCTATGAATTACGAGCGTACGATTAATGAGCTAAAATGTTACAGATTGCCAACTTTACATTGGAACGGAAAATCTAAATGCGAATATTAATCTGAAGTTCGGCCAATGGCTATGTAAAATTCATTTTTAGGAACGGAAACCTACCTTTGGTGTTGTCGACCTCCGAAATTATAATCGTGAGTCGTTTTCATGTCAAACTGCTATCAGTTCAAAAATAACTTCTTGATTTATGCCCTTTTTTCTGGGTTCTTCAACTGTTGATAAGCTGTTGGGTGGTCGTCTCCTTACTTCCTCTCTACCTGGTAATTATTTATCTTTACAATACACTTAGATATTATTTTGAAATGGGGACCAATACAATGAAAAATATGCACAAAATTCCAAGGCTAAAAGCGCATCTGGATGCGACAGAAAACAACGGAATGTCGGACGCAAAGCAAGTTTAAGAGATGACACAACGTTCGAATTTAAATGATGTTTAGTCGAGGCAATAAACCTGTCACATGTACGTTCCATTGCAACGTCAGAAAAATATCACCGGTTTGCATTGTTATTATTCATCATGTGCTGTTAGAATTACTAAAATAGCAACCTGCAGCGAACTACTCTAATGGCCATTTCGAACAGCCTTGCGAGTTCAGCACACTGGGTCACAATCACCTTTTTACGCAAATTTTACGGTGACGACGAGAAAGGGTGGTTCATATTTTGGTAGCGACCTGCTGGTATACGATCGTTTTGCATTTAATTGCCCGCGTGCACCTTAAAATAGATCAGCTAAAGATCAAACGATGTGTTAAAGCTTATATTAATGGAGCTATAAAGATGGTTGTGATTGATTCGGGAATGAGTCATGGCTGGTTAATTACTTCTGGTAACGGTTTCGACATTAGATAAATTTATACGGTAAAAAAATGGTATTTGGCTCTACTGATTAGGTATTTTCGGTGCGATTTAATGATTAAAGTATTTCATTTGCAGGATTGGCTTGAGGACTAGGATTAGTAGATCGCAAGGTTTTCAGACCGAAAGCTCTGGCAGAGCACCACCATCTTGGAAAATGGTAGAAAATCGAGTAATGATCTTATTTTCCGAACTATTTTGAGAAACTATTTCAGCTTTACTTTTGGCTTTCTGAAAAAGTTCATTTGTGCTAAAATTATACTCTTTAACAATTTCAATGTCACTTAGTATGCTAAGCCTTCATAATGAGATAAAACTGACGTGGCGACAATTACCGATTACTGAATTATCGATTCATCAGGTCCAGTCTTGACTTGGTGGCTGTAGGTCGATTCCGTCCGGTAAATTCGCCCACTGGAATACTCCTGTGCCAGGAGCTCGCTCCAAGAACAAATTACGTTCAGGAAAGTGCGATCCTAACGGAAACTCGTGTTTGAAATAACTACTGTGCATTGCTTGCCTCAAAATATGGTTTCGTATATTTTTCATAATTCTCATCACAAGAATTGTATCAAAAAGCAATCAGTAGTAATCAGTGAAGTTTAATAAATGGATGATTAAGTGATAGTAGTCCTCAAGATAACATGTCCACATCAGGTAAATTCGCCTCCAGATGATTCTCCTCCGGAATACTACACCTCCATACTACTCGCCCTCGGTAAATTTGCCCCCAGAAGATTCGCCCTCGAAAGATTTTTGCCTGGAAGATGCAGTGTACTTAACCCCCAGGTTATACGCTAACTTCACACTCCAGAAACAGGGAAATAAAATCAATCCGACAACGTCACACGCTATGTAGCTTTCCAGCCAGTGTGTAGTACATATTAATCAGGTTTAGGTCATATTAATTTCTGTACCAAATGTAATAGCTCTGTATTATAGGATACTTGATCAATAATCCTCCTCGTAAGAAATATCAAAAAGCCGTATGTGCAAATGTCAACTATAGATGGTTGCGCATCTATAAAAATTATTCTTGAATGTACAGGGTGCTCCATTCCATCGTTACTGTATTATAAATAATTTTTTTTTAGCAATTATTTTAATCCGAATACAAGGATCCACTTTGATAATTATATAGTTCGATTTAGTCATTCAGGGTGTTCACAAGGAAATGACCGAATTTCAAAGCGCCATAACTATTTTTTTTTTCAAATGGAACTACTACCACTGTTTTATCCAGTGTCTAAACGCAGTAGTTTTTGGGTTGCCCATATATGAATTACATGCTTATGCAACGGAGTAGTACCTCAACACACAAGAAGTAGAATGCGGATACAACAAGATGGGGCCCCTGCTCATTTTTCATTAGATGTAAGGGCACATCTTAAGAAGGTCTTTCCAACTAGTGGATTGGAAGAAATTGACACACCACGTGAGCTCCCAGGCCTTTTTTTATTTTTTAGTACTACCTACATTTATTGAATTGTGTAAACATGGATTAATTCATTATTTAATTTTGTGAAAAATATTGAATAAACTAAAAACTACCAGGTTTAGACACTGGAAATCGCTTATAAAAATTGAACACAACAGACTATCGAATAGCGCAATAAAATAGTGTTAGTTCCATCTGAAAAAAAATAGTTATTGCACCTTGAAATTCTGAAGCTTTTCCATTTCCTTATGAACACCCTGTATCACGAAATCCAACTTGCCCAGAATCAAAGTGTAGCCCTTCATTCGGATTAAAATTATTGCTCAAATGTGTTTCCTAACTTCAAAAAACAATTAATGTGGAATTATTCTGAAAAAAATTAATAAGACGTCAACATTGACAAAAAATCAGAAAGTGAATAGTATTCAATGTAGATGTTAACAAATCACATTGAAACCGTACCGTTATTGAATCATGTTTGTTTGTTATACTGATGTACATACGGTTATGCCTTTATATTAGTTTATTAAGTATTTATTTCTGCATTCATGTGAACGTGTATTATCATACGCAAT